CGGGACCCGGGCTGCGGGGCTGCGGGGCCGGGCGGTGCGCTCCCCGGGGCCCGCGCTCTCCCGGGTGCAGGCTGCTCGGCAATCCGGCAGCGCCTCCTGCTCCGGCTCAGGCTCCGGCTCCGCTCGGCGGCGGCCGCGGCTGCCTGGGCGAGATCAACAAGTCGGGCTGAGCTTCGGCTCGGCGCTCGCCGCGATTCTGTCCCGCACTAGGAAAGCCGCGAGTCGGCACCGAGGCGGGACGGCGCCACCTGCGGGTCGGAAGCGCGCGCGGCTTAACCCCTCAGTGCCCGGCCCAGCCCAGGCCCACGGGGACTCGGGTGGAGCCTTGCCCACGGGGCTGCCTTCCCCCAGATCCACCTTCCTGTCTACAGCATGGCTGAGCGCCTACTGTGTGCTGAGCACCACATACCACGTGTATAGACAGTCGTCTGAGATGCAGCTGGGAATCAAAGAAACATCCGCGGCCCCCGCAGGGTGCTGTACGTCAGACACACTAAATGCTGGAGGGTAAGAGGGAAGGACTGGAGAGCTGGGGAAAGGCAGGTGGCAATTTTAAATAGTCTCTGCTTCCATTCCATTCCAGATTCTAAACTCGAGTTCTGGAACGGCATTCTAGACTCCAAACGAAAGTGGACGGTAAACTCATCAACTGCCATGCAAGGGGGGAGGTGGTGGGCAACTGCCGAGAAGAAACTCAAGGCCAGGTTGGGAGGGGCAGTGAGGAGCCAGCACCTGCATGGCCTGGTGAGTCACCCGCCCATGCACCCCAGCATGGACAGCTGCATCCAGCTATGTGAAAGGCAGGCTCAGGCCAGGGAGAGCTGGCCCTGCCAGTTGTCTTCCCGGGCCGAGGGGCCTGCAGAATCTATCAGGCCCTCTCAGAAGTGACTAGGGTAGCAGAGAGCATGCCCTGATGGAGAAACAGTGCTCCAAATAAGGCCCATCCCTTTTCCATCCTTGACTTCCTGTCTAAGATTTAAGGGTTTCGTTTCCATTGTGTTACACAGATCTGTCTGTAAAAACCTGTGCACTTCTTATCAGTCCATTTTTGTGCCTCTGTCCCAGCTCCCACTGCCTTCTCTCCCGGGGCCTTCTGCTCTGACCTCGCCCATCTCTCTGCCTCCTATGGGTGGTGCTCACCAAGGCTGTCAGATTGAGTGTTACATTTCCTGAGCTGAATGTCTGTCACTGGCAGAAAGCCTTCCCTTGCTCTGACCTGATGCTCTGGGTCAGCCCCTCCCCCCTCTCTCAGCTTGCAGACCACTGGAGGAAGAGGGGTAACTGCACCTGAATTTTTAAAAAGTGAGCAGGTTTTGGGTGATCATGTTATAAAAAAAAGCTGAGTGGTTTCTGGAGCCCATGCTGAGAGATTTTCCCAGGGGGTCAGGGAGGGCCTCTCAGAGGAGGAGGCCAGACTCCCAAGGTAATAAGCAGGACAGCCAGGGGCTAGAATAGAGGAAAGAGGGTGCACCGTGATGGGGCCCATATGTATCATGGCAAGGGCCTGGCCTTCACGAGGGAGGTAGATGGATCTACTGAAATTCTGACTAGGGAGGGACTTGGGCTAAGCTGGGGAAACAGATTTAGAAGGAGAAGGTGGGACTAGAGGGCCCAACAAGGAGGCTGCTGTACCTGACGGGTCACAGCTGGTCACAGCTGGTGCATGTCTGGTATGACCACGGTGACCAGAAATCTGTCTATCTGAGCCCAGAATCAACAGACCAAGCACCGGAACGGCCTCCACACACCTCCCTCCTTGCCTTCACTTGCTTGTGCACAGAACTGACCCGAAGCTTGCATCTGCTGTGTGCCTAGCATGGTGTCTGGGCCGGAAGTCAAGGATGAATGAGCAACAGGTCCCTGTGCTCACCAAGCTACATGCCTTCCTGGCCAAAGCAGGAGGAGGCATAGTAGTGTATGCCTGAACTCAGATTCTTATACTTGGACAGCAACACTTTACCAACTGAGCCATCTCCCCAGACCCAAATCATTTTGTTATTCCCTTTTTTCTCAGTTCCCCTCAGACTACACTCCTTGCCACATAGGCAGCAGTCGTACCTGCTTACTGGATATTATGGGTTTTGGTCTGGATGAAAACTTTTTTCAGACAGGATCTCAATATGTAGCCCAGGCTGGATTTGAACTCACCACCTTCCTGTTTTAGCCTTCTGACTGTTGGGATTACAGGTCTGCCTGTGCCACCGCTACCAGCTTCAACTAATCCACATGTTTTGTGCTGAGGAACTCACGTTTTTTATTTTCCCCTGAGATCCATCCAAGTTGATGTGGGTTCAACAGCCACACAGTTGTCCCTGACAATGCCCCTTTGTCACTGTCCACCCCCAACAAGGTTGCTCCAGGTCCCAGTGCACTACAGTGAGTGCACTCTCCACTCACATCTGCTCACAGACCAGCTTGATGACATCTTTTTTTCTTTTTTCTAAGTCAGGGTCTCATGTAGCCCAGGCTGACCTCAAATTGGTTACACAATTGAGGATGACTTTGGGTTTCTGTCCCTTCTGCCTTCACCACCTGAGTACTGGGATTACAGGTGTGCACCACTGCATCTGCTTCATACAATGTGGGGGATGGGCCCCAAGGCTTCGTGCATGTTCTGTAAATACTCTATCAGCTGAGCCAAGTCCACAGCCTCCTTGTTGTGACTTTTAAATGTGCTTTTCTGAAGGTTTGGAATGATGTATCCCAGGATGCATTCTTAACTAAGTGCAGCCTGGCTCTCTCAGAGGTCTGCCTCTGCTGGCATGTCCTCAGCAGTGCCGGGAGTCCTACCGCCCAGCCTCAGCCTCCATCAGGCACTACCCAGAGATCAAAACCTAGACTACCCAGTGTGCCTGGAAATGTCCATTTCACTGATGACAAATGAGTCTCAGGTCCTCCTCATATGCGTTGGTTGGGGCTCGTGTGTGTGTGTGTGTGTGTGTGTGTGTGTGTGTGTGTGTGTGTGTGTTGTGGTGGTGAATGTGGTGGTTGTTATAGCCATGGTTGTTGTGATTGTCCTTGTCGTTGTGGTTGTTGAGGCAGTGGTGGTGGTTGTAGCTGTGATTGTTTTGGTTGCTGTTGTGCTGGTGGTGGTTGGTATGGTAGATGCTGGTTGTGGTTGTTGTTTTGGTTGTAGTTGTTTGCCATTGTTTTGACTGTGTTGTGGTGGTGGCTGTTGCTGTGTTTGCTGTTGTAGTGATTGCTGCTGTGTTTGCTGTTCTGGTGGTGACTGTTGTGGTAGTGGCTGATGTGACTGGTGGTTGTAGTTGAGGTTGCAGTGATGGTTGTGGCAATTGTGGTGATGGTGGCTGTTATGATTATGGTGTTGGTTTATCTGTTTTGATGACTTGCATGACTTATATACTCTAGATTCAGAGTCCCGTGCTGACATTAGACGTTGCAAACACCTCCTTCTGTTCTGGGCCTGTCAACTTTTGCCTGTTGCATCCATTGTTTCAAACACTATTTTAGGGGTTGGAAGATGCTCAGTGAGTAGCAGTACTGGATGCCAGGCCTGGTGACCTGAGTTCCACCTCAGGGACCCACAGTGGAAAGATATAGCTGACTCCTACAAACTGTCCTCTGACCTATACACACACACACACACACACACACACATGCACGCTCACATACATGTGCACTCACTGTGGTATGTGTGCCCACACACATACACATGAACATTCACACATTCACACACACTAAATAAATGTAATTTCTAAGTCACTTGCAGCACAAACACAAGAACCAGAATTTGGACCCCAGCATCTGTGAGGTCCCACAAATGCCTGTAACTCCAGCACTGATTGGGTGACAGAGGCAGGAAGATCACTGAGGCTTGTGGCTGCCAGCCTAGCTGAAATGCATGAACACCAGGTTACTGAATGACCTGCCTCAAAACAACAAGACAGAGTATGACAGAAGAGGACACCCAATGCCTTCTTTTGGCCTCTGCACACAGGTAACAGGTATGTATGCTTGCACACACACATGCATATACTCCCTACACAATAAATTTATGATTATTTTATGTGTATGAGGGCCTACATGTTTGTGTACCTGTGCTATGTAGTGCATGAAGGGACCAGAAGAGGGTGTCAGATCCCTTGGAACTGGAGTGTACCTGTATGTGTACCTGTGCCGTGTAGTGCATGAAGGGACCAGAAGAGGGTGTCAGATCCCTTGGAACTGGAGTAAAGGGCAGTTTTAGAAATATAGGGGCTGTGCCAGGTGTGGTGGCACACGCCTTTAATCCCAGCACTCAGGAGACAGAGGCAGGCAGGTCTCTGTGAGTTCGAGGCCAGGCTGGTCTACATATTAAGTTCCAGACCAGCTAGGGCTACAGGGAGACCCTGTCTCAAAAAGGCAAAAATAAGCTGGGCATGGTGATGCATGCCTTTAATCCCAGCACTTGGGAGGCAGAGGCAGGCAGATCTCTGTGGGTTCGAGGCCAGCCTGGTCTACATAGTGAGTTCCAGGACAGCTGGAGCTACAGGGAGACCCTGCCTCAAAAAGACCAAAAAAAAAAAAAAAAGGCAAAAATAAATTAATAATTAATATAGGGGCTGGAGAGATGGCTCAATGGTTAAGGGCACTGGCTAGTCTTGCAAAGGACCCAGGTTCAAATCCCAGCACCTACATGGTGGTTAACAACTGTCCTTAACTTACATACATGCAGGCAATACACTTACATAATGCACTTACATGCAGGTAATATACTCATACATGTAAAATAAAGAAAACAAAATATTTTTTAAAAATTAATATAACCAGGACACTTTATTTTGGGCTGTAGGATTTGTGCTCCAAACACCCTATTTAAGGGTCCTCTCATGGGCCTACTTTACAAATATTTTTGTTTATTCTATTTATTTTGTTCTATTCTGACCTTCCTCCACTTGTCTCTGTCTACACCATATGTACAGATGGCGCTGTCATTCTGTAGGGACGCCACATTACTCTTCCTGTAGTTAGTTGGTCTCCCTATAGCCCCAGCTGGCCTGGAACGCACTATGTAGACCAGGCTGGCCTCCATCTCAGAGATCCATCTGCCTCTGCCTCTGCCTCTCCAGTGCAGGGATTAAAGGCATGCACCACTACACCTAACCTTTCCTTTTTTTGTTTTTTAATTTTATTTTTATTTTATTATCTTTATTTTATGTGTACGAGTGTATTGCCTGCATGTATGTGAGTGCATCCATGTCATGCAATGCCACAGAGGTCAGAAGAGGGCTTCGGATTCCCCTGGAACTGGAGTTAAAGACGGTTTGTAGCTGCCATGTGGGTGCTAGGAATTGAACCTGGGTCCTCTGCAAGAGCAGTCAGTGCTCTTAACTGCTGAGCCATCTCTCTAGCCTCTATTATTTTTATTTTATGTGTATGCATGTATTGCCTGCATGTAGATAAGTGCACCTGTGTTGTGCAATGCCCATGGAAGACAAAAGAGGCTGTCAGATCCCCTGGTACTGGAGTTACAGACAGTTGTTAGCTGCCATGTGGGTGCTGGGATTTGAACCTGGGTCTTCTGTAAGAACAACCAGTGTTCTTAACTGCTGGGCCATCTCTCCAGCCCCCAATCTTTCCTTTCTTTATGAGTATGTGTGCATACATGTTTATGTGTATGTGTGCATGTGGAGGACAGAGGTCAACGTAAGGTGTCTACAAGGAATTTTTAAATTGTTTATTTTTATTTTATGTGTATGAGTATTTTGTCTGTATTATGGAAGTGCACCATATGCATGCAATGCCCACAGAGGCCAGAAGAGGGCGTTGGACCCCTGGAACTGGAGTAACAGATGGTTGATAGCCACGATGTGGATGCTGGGAACTGAACCTGGGTCCTCTGCAAGAGTAGCCAGTGCTCTTAACCACAAGGACTGTCCCTCTCTTCAGCCCATGAAGAATGCTTTAAAGTATTTCAGCACTAATAGCTCTGTCTAGTCGATTGTAGGGTTCTATGGACAGACCTTGTCTGCCCTGCTCAACCCAAGTAATTAGAATGCTTTGCTAGGGGATAAGGAGATGGCTTAGCCAGTAATGTCCTTGTGCATAAGCATGAGGACCTGAGTTCGGATCCCCAGAACCCACATAAAAAGCTAGGCGTGTCATTACACACCTATAACCAGCACTAGGAAAGGAAAGACAAGAGGCTCTCTGGAGCCCGCTGGCTGGCCTGCCTAACAGAACCAACAAGTTCCAGGTTCAGGGGAAGACTGAAAAAATAAGGTGGAGAGTGACTGAGATGGATGCCTGGCACTGACCTCTGACATCCATATGCACGTGTGTGCACACATGTGAACAGGCACTAAATACACACACCACGCACAAATAAACAGATAACTAAATAAATGGATACTGGCATTTAAAATGCTTAATTGGTCCACGTAGAAAGTTGTGTGGTGGAATTAGGTGCCGAGTTGCTTCCTCCATTTTGCTCTGCCTTCCTCAATACTGAGGTACGTTGCTTGGTCATCACAGGATGGCCACTGCCGTGCCCAGCAACAGTCTTCATGAAAATATTCAAAGAAAGTTGACCAGGATAGCCTAGAAAAGTCTCCTAGCCTTCCTCCTCCCCCTCCCAGCACTACCACCCAGATTAACTGGAAATAAAGTCATCAGAGGGCAAAAAATTAAGCTGACAAGGTGACAGTAGAGCTCCTGGATCCAACCATGCCTGAAGCCAGTGCTACTGGATTTCCAGTTATATGAACTATGAAACAACCCCTCTTTACCTAAGTCAGCTGTCATTTTGTCATTTATATCCAAAAGAGCTCAACTGGTAACACTCTTCTCTCCACAGACGGAACTGTCTTCATCAAAAGAAGGAATTAGGTGTGTAAGAAACAGAAAAGCCAAGTGTGGTGGCCTCGCCTGGGATCCCAGCCCTGAAGAGGAGGAGGCAGATCAGAAATTCAGAGTCAGCTTTGGTTACATAGTGAGTTTGAGGACAGTCTGGGCTACATGAGACCCTGTCTCAAATAAATCCAATAAATAAAGAGGGAGGGAGGGAAGGAGGGAAAATCAACTGTAATTTGGAATATTCTGTAGAGAAATGTGCCATACCCCAGTTGGGTTTCAAGCACAATCCTCTCATTTAAAGCTAGGTGAAGCCATCAAGTTCAGGGAGGGGACAGTGCCCCAGTGGTCAGCCAGAAGTGGGTAGCCAGGTCCCAACAGCAGACCATCTGATTCTTTGTTATGGCTCTCTCAAAATGCCTCTGCTGGGAGGAGCTGAGATTCTTCTTCAAGGCTGAGTGAGGCCAAGTCAGCGGACCATCCACCTAGTATATGTGACATCCCCTCTAACCAGTGCTGGCAGGAGATGAGCCTGTTTGAAGTCTTATCTTCCCCAGACTTTATGATACCACCCATCATTTATTTATGGTCCCACCAGGGAGCCTGCTCTGGTTTCTCTGAGTTTCTAGGCACAGAGCTAATTAACCACCCCACACACACACAAATTCCTGGGTAGGAAAAAACAGCTTGATGAGGGTGGCCAGGGGGGGCTTGAAGACAGGGGGACATGGGGCTGTCACTCTATCTCTGTGTATATGTCACTTAGGACATCTGCTCTTTGCTGTGACCTTGCTCAGGCAAAGCTCCAGCAGCCACAGGGACTGTTCACCAGCACGGATTTGTCCTTGCTCCAACTCCTCTTTGTCACAGTCCATAATAATCACTACAGTATGTACAGATAGGGGTAAGGACAGACCCAGGGGCTGCTGGGAGGACAAATGAAATGATGTGTGGAATGTATTTCCATATCCTGCCAGACACTGCTCATTGAAAAAACACCACTAACAACAGTAACAATAGTGACAGCATTGGTTGAGTGCTTACTGTACACTAGTCACAGGCTGAGGGATGTGTGTGTGACCCCACTGAAGATTCTTTCTGTCTCTTGCACCCAGGAACCAAGGATGATAAAAATATAAATGTGATGGTTAGGCTGTTGAGTGACTCTGAGTGACCCAGTGTCTGAGTCTAGCAATGTTTTTTTTTCTAGCAACAGGCTACCTCTACAGAGCCTAAGCTAACCTCTGACTTGCAATCCTCCTGCCTCAGCTGCCTGTGTAGCTGAGGTCACAGACCTGCACCACAAGGTTCAGTACCAGGTTCTTCCCTTTTCTTTCAGAACCCAGTTGTCTTTATCAAGCCCTGCCTGTTTGGATCAAGTTCCTGATAATTATATGAACCTTGTTTTCTGACCAACCCAAAATATATCCATCTCTCCATCTGATCTTGAAGCTCTCACCTACCCACCAACCTCACCCCATCCCCATCCATCATCCAGCCATCCAGCCATCATCCACCCACCCATCCATCATCCACCCACCCATCCATCATCCACCCACCCATCCATCATCCATCCACCTGTCCATCATCCATCTACCCATCCATCATCCATCCACCCATCCATCATCCATCCACCCATCCATCATCCATCCACCCGTCCATCATCCATCCACTCATCCATCATCCATCCACCCATCCATCATCCATCCACCCATCTATCATCCATCCACCCATCCATCATCCATTCACCTGTCCATCATCCATCCACCCATCCATCATCCCATACACTCATCCATCATCCATTCACCCATCCATCCATCCATCCACCGGTCCATCATCCATCCACACATCCATCCATCTCATCCATCCACCCATCCATCCATCACATCCATCCATCCCATGCATCATCCATTCACCCACCCATCCATCCACCTATCCATCATCCATCCATCCATCCACCGGTCCATCATCCATCCACACATCCATCCCCCTACCACTACATGCAATGAATCTGTCTACCTTCTCATTTATCCACCTACCCACCCATCCATCCATTGGTCCTTGAGTCTTCCCACCCAGCACCTAACAATGATATAGGGCTTTCTGTACTACATTGCCTTATGCAAGCAATGCTCTATGTGGAGCCCTGGTGTGTCTCTGGGGTCCGGCCCCCAGGGTGCCACCAGAAATCAGAAGTTCCCCACACAGAGAACAGACTAAACCTGTATGACTTCCAGCAAGCCTCTTTGTGGTCAGGACTTTCAAAGCCATTGACTTCCAGGGTGTGAGGCCAAAGGATGATGAAATGGATGAAATACAGGGCAGGAACAACTGAGGCGCAGGCTTCCAGCAGAGCAATTAGAGGTAAACTAATCTCTCTTCTCCACAGAGGAGCCAGGGAACTCGGAGACACATCGAAAAGGAGTGAGTCAGCAAAAGGAGGCAACTGAAGCCACAGAGATGGAAAGCTGAGGAACTGAGGCTAAGATCATCTTGCAATGAGAAGGCAGCTCCCTGCCCTTCAGGCCTGGTGTCTCTCCTGCCTCCTCTCCTCTCAGCCACCCTTGGCCAGCGCTCCCTGGTTGCATCCACCTCCCCTCCCTCCTCTCTTCTCAATCCAGCCTCCCCTGATGAGGGAGCAGACAGTGGAAGACACAAGTTTGATGAGTGGCTTCCTTTTTCATAGTCTTCACACTTGCTGTCCACACTAAAGAACAAGCTCTCAAGATGAGGCCAGTTGGGTAGTGTTCCCGTTTGCCTCCTGGCAGCCAACCTCACCTCCAGACCCAGAGGCTCCCTCATCAGATCGTACAGAGCCAGTTCTTGAGCAAAGGCACTTTAATAGACTCTAGCATGCTTCCATCTGGTGGTATCTTGGGAAGACAGAACCAGAGAAGAGAAGCAGCTCTGGGCGTGTTACTCAGTCATTGATTCTAAGGTTCTTCTTGCTGGGTATGTAGATGCCACAGCATCTACAGGAGTGGCCCCCTGCCATGAGTGGCCCCCTACAGGAGTGGCCCCCTGCCACAGCATCTACAGGAGTGGCCCCCTGCCATGAGCACTTACCCCTCTTTTGGCCCCTCTCACCCCCTGTGGGTCAACTAATGAGGAAGTTGAGGAGAGACAAAGCGCTCAGGCAACCTGGCTGCTTTCGGCCTGTCTGACTCAAGAACAGAGGCTCTGAGGTTCCAAGTCTTGACCTTAACTGCCCAGACCCGGTTTATTCTCCACAGTTCTTTTCTGTGTGAGGTTGTGAGGATACAGGCCCGCCCCTGTCAGCAGTGGGAACAGACTTAAGTGTTAAAGTGAATCTGCTTAAAAGAGTATTTGGTGAGCAACAATTGACAGCACAGCAAAAATATCACCATGGGACTGTACCAGAGACCCTTCATTAGATCACCAGAGGGCAGTGACGTGGTCCTGTGACACCGAGTCTCCAGCCAGGCATGAAGAGCTACACTGAGGACAGGCAGGTGGCTAATACCCTCATCTCCCCTCTCAGAAGCAGCATCTCTTCCTTTTCCTCCTCCCCCTTCCTCCCTTCCTCCTTTCCTGCCTTCCTCCCCTTCCGGAGTCTTATGTATCCCAGGCTGACCTTGAACCCACTATGTAGCCAAGTAGGAATGCTGCACCCCTTATCTCCCAGCCTCTACCTCCCAAGTGCTGGGACTTACAGGCATGTACACCATTGTCCAATTTATGCAGCTCTGGGGATGGAACTCGGGGCTTGTGCATGCTAGGCAAGCACTCTACCAACTGAGCTACATCCCCAACTTATTTTAAAGAAGAAAGAGTAGGAAAAGAAAACTAAAGATTAAAATGAGGGCAAGTTTGAACCTGGTCATACCTGGCCCTGGCCCTGGCCCACTGTCCCCTCCCCAGTCCCCCAATGTTACTTCAACATCTCAGGTTCCCATTGGAGCTGCCTGGAGGGAGAATCATCCTCCTCATGAGTGAGTCCCATGGTCCTGGCTCTGAGGAGCTGAGGAGGTGCCACCTTTAAAGGGAATTGGCCCTCCTCCGGCACAGATGAGAATCCCAGGGACAACCCTGCCTGATTTAATTATGATGGTGCTCAGAAGGGCTTCCCCCAGCACACCAGGGCTGAAGCCTGGGAGACCTTTGGCAGCTATTTCTGCAGCTTTTTCCCTCCCCTCCCAGCCATGAGGCGGCAGCTGGGGGTTGCCATGGAAACCAGCTCATCTTCCCACTGGAGGCTGCCAGCTCTGATCTCCTGTAGAGATAAGAAGCAGGCAGCAGTGGGGGGGGGGTCACCCAGGCATGAAGATGGGTTTCCCTGGGGATACCCAGCCTCCTGCCAATCACATTGTCTATCTGGGAATCCTGGGGGTGCCTAGAGACCCAGGGCCAGGGAAGCCTCCGAGCCCCAGCACTGCTCCAAGAGATGAACCCTTGGAACATCCTGACTCAGGACCTCTTCTGTCCCTCCAGCTAAAGCTAAGGGACCATGGATGTGTCTGTGTTTCACAAATTGCACCATGCTTGGGTGCACCTGGCTGTCACCTATCCAGTGCCAAACAGATCTGTCCCACTGATACCCCCAAATCCAAGGAACAAAGAGCAAGCTCCCCAGCAAACATCTGCTCCTAGAAGTGTGTAGGCTGAGCTCTATCAGCTTACAAGCTGTGTGACCCCAGGCAAATCACTCCACCTCTCTGAGCTGACTTTCTCATCTGGAAAGCTGGCATAACACCCTGTCTTCTCCAAGAATCAATGAGGAATAGAAATACAGGTCTGCAGAGCCTGCTGCAGTCTTTAAAGACACTCAGGAAACAGGGTCTAATAGCAAGTTCAATGTGATATGGAGGCTTTCAAGCCATGGTCCTCTTTAAGTTCTTTTCCCTAAAATTGAGGCAAAGGCAGGTTTTCATCACTGATCTATTTGTGCAAAGGCTGCAGCATCCAGGCAGGGATGAGCGACCAGTCTGAGGGACCAACTTGCTGGTTCTCACCATCCTCTATGCTTGTGCTTCCAAGAGTCAGCCTTTAGGACCAGAAGGGACTAGAGTACAAAAGGGGACCCAGCCAGAGCCTCATGGCTGACAGGTAGCTTCCCTGCAGCCGTGGCAGCTGCTCTTAGGACCATGGACACAGCACAGCCAGAAGCAAGACATTCACATGAACTCTCCATAGATAATGTGATACCTACTATATTGATATAAAACAAATTATATATAATTTTTTTAATGTGTATGAGCATTTTTGCCTGCATGTATGTAAGGGCACCATGTGTGTGCAGTATCTGCAGAGGCCAGAAGAGGGCATTACATCCCCCTGGGATCTAAGTTAATGGATAGTTGTTAGCCACCATGTGGGTGCTGGAAACCAAACCCCAGTCCTCTGCAAGACCTACCTGTGCTCTTACCCACTGAGCCATCTTTCCAGCCCTATGCTGAACAAAGCCATCTGCAGGCTGGCATGTGCCACAGCAGGAACCTGTGCACCAGGGTGCAGGAAATATACTTCCTTGACTGGTTCTCTCCAGATACGCACAGGGCTCACTCAGTCTTTCTGGGCTCCTCACACCCTGGGTCTTGTCATAAGGAAAGTCCTGCCACCTGGCACTTGGGACCTCAAAACAGAGGATTCTGTCTCTCGGAATGCAACCTGCATTTTCCCAGGCATTTATGTGAAGGGAGAGGAGGGTGGTGTCTCTGTAATAATATGAGGACAGAGCTCACCACAGTGGACACATTGCTGAATCCAGAGGGGTCCTCCCATGGCCCACATCTGCTCTCCTGGTCAAGGCCTGCACCACATTGATTGTTAAGAGTGAGACAGTGACCACTCTGGAAGTCAGGGGTACAGCTGTGGGGACTGTGGGCATCAAAGGCCAGGGGGTGCAGGTGAGCCCAGAGCATAGGGAGCCTGATTTGGAAGTAACTTTTCACAGCAAAAATGCAGAGCTTTTATTGGCTTTTCCTGCCCTCAGTGTCATCTGTATCCCTTCCTCTGGACACAGCTTCTAGGAGAGCAGAAGGCAGCGATGCTGGCAAGGGAAGTCAAGAGGTCAGAAGCGAATGCAGTGTCTACTCCCACAGGTCACTGCCGGATGCGGTACCGGATGGGTACGTCGTGTTCTGGCTGCATCAGGCCGAAGCCATACCTGCTCAGGTCAAACTCAGGGAACTCCGTGTCTGTGCTGCTCAGCTCCAGCTCAAAGTGCATCAGCAGGAGGATCACGAATCTGCAGAGAGAGAGGGTGCTGCGGACCCTGCACTCCACTGGGCTTGGCAGACTTTATCAAGGCGAGGCCAGCCAGGGGCTGAGCGAGGGGTGATGGGCCATGACAGTGGCAGTCATTTCTGAATCAAAGCCCTTGAGACCAGCATGTGACTCTCCATTTCTCCTATCTACCACTTCACCTGGAGATGGTAGAGCGGCCAGAGGCTGTGTTGCGCTGAGGTGCGACTCCACACCACCAGATCTGTATGGTTCTGAGTCTCAAACTCATTGCTGGTAAAAGCAGCATGGGGCTCACTGTGACAAGATTATAACTCTTCCTGCCCCTTGGCTAGCCAGCACCCCCTTCTCCCAAACTCTTGGAATCCTTAAAGTCTGTTCTGGCCAGGGCGGTGTTCACCCAGGAGTGCTTGTGAGTTTAAGAACCCCACAGTACTCCCTCAAAACATCTTACCACCGTGTGGTAGAACTGTCACCCTGGACCAAATCTGGAGGGCAGCACTTTCTATCACCACTTCCTGGAGACACAAAAGCTGTTGTGTCTAGGGACTGAGCTTTGGGTCTCGTGCTTGCTAGGCAAGTGCTCCAATCCTCTCTTTAGTCTTCATTTTGAGACAGGGTCTCACTAAGCCGCTCAGGTGGCCTTAAACTCATACTTTAGCCCAAACTAGCCTTGAACTCATGATCCTCCTGCCTCAATCTCCCCAGTAGCTGGGAGTACAGGCCTGTGCTCCCAGGCCTGGTCCCTGCTGTTTTGATTGCATGACTGTGCCCAGCAAGGTGATTTTTAGGAATGCAAGTCAAATGCTAGGGCAAAACTTTCTACTTTACTGTTGAGAAAACAGAGGCCAAAAGGCTAACGCAACTCTCTGCCCCTTAATGTAGCTGCACGTTAACAACATGAATAAAAAAGATGATAACTAACAGGTCTCAAAGCCTGTGATGAGTCAGGATGTGAGGTAGGTACTTCGAAGATCCAGTCCAATCCACTTCTCCCAGGATGGAGCTAATTAGCACCCCCATTTCACAGTTGAGGGAACAGGCTCAGAATGTCACAGGAACTAGAGAGGACAGTGTAGAGATGATACAACCTGTACTCAGGCTGCCTGTGATCCTGGGGACCAAGGTTCTTGGGGGATCCCGGGAAGAGAACAATCTGGGAGTTAAAACAGCCAAGCGGGAAATCTGAGGTGCAGCCAGTTTCTGCTGCAAGGGCCTGGACCTGCTGCAGCAGCCATAAGCAGATAGCCACCACCAGCCAGACACAGTGGCCAGCATGTGGTATCCCACGCCACCTCAGAGGAGAAACCTGCTGCCAGATCCGATTATTGCGTAAGAGACAGAAAACGTGGCTTTTTACAGGAGTGCTTCTGATTGTTTAGAACAGCGCACATTATAAAAAACACAAACAGATTTGAGGGCAGGAGCTGGCTCTCTGCCAGTTTGAAATCTCAGTCCTAAACCATGAGCTGGAGGCCTCCAGTCAGGAGAGAGGGTGTGGGTTATACTAGATGGATCCAGGGCCACACCTCATCAAGAGGTCCCTTCCCACACTGGGCCTTGCCCATGCCCCGCCAGTGCCCCTACCAGCCATGCCCCTCACTCACTGTTTGATGCTGTTGACCGCATAGCTCCTCCCCAGGCACTGGTTGTGCCCTGCCCCCCACGGCATGTTGTAATTCTTTAGCCTTTTCCCGTCCTTGTAAAAATCCTTCTTCTCAGATCCATCTGGGTTCAAGAATCGGTCGTATTTAAATACCTGAAACAGGAAGAAAGTATATTTCTGACGTCACCCCAAAGAAGGCTGTACCCACAGAAATGAACAAGGGGGCTCCTTACAGATTTGTCACAACTGAGCACAATAGAAAGGTGACTGAAGGGGCCTTGTTATAGGACTGCGGAGGTGACACAATTCCCACGCCACAGAGGGAGCCAAGAACACAGCACATAGTCATTCGGGACTGCTGATCCCTAAGTCATTCACCGTCCCCGATCCCCGTCCCTGTCCCCAGGTCAAGCAGCCACCCCACCACTGACCTCAGGCTCTATGTAGATTTCTGGATCCTTCTGAGGGCTCAGGAAAGGGAAGAGGAGAAGGCGGTCACCACGCCGAAGAGAGAATTCCCTTCCATCTGCCATGGGCAAAGCCAGATCCACCATGACCTCACGGGTGATGAAGGGAGCAGCTGTGAGCCGCAGGCTCTCATTCAGCGCACTATCTGCATGGGGTAAGGGCAGGGAAGGGTCAGCAGGCTGTCCTCTGGCCTGCTGGACACCATACCCTGTTCTTGTTTAACAGAAGAGGATGAAGAGGCTCACAGGGGGGGGGTGTGTCTTGGCTGTAGTCACACAGCACTGTGGGAAAGGTACCAGATGACTGAGTGTGGACTCTGGTCCCTCAGAAACCCTGGAATGTGAAGGGGCACTATGAGGGAAGTGGGAGCCAGGGAGATTCAGACAGCTGAGGAGAGGTCAGGGCCTCGGTGTCTGCTTCTGTCTGCCCAGTGCGGATTCCCCTCCTGGAAACACGCTTCCCCTATCTACTCCAAACTGCTGGACTTAGGCTCTGACTGGCCAATCAGAGCATTCCTCTGAGCTGTTGATTGGTTAAGGACAGACATACGACCCAAAAAGCTAATCAAACACATTTTTAGTCCTTTAGATAGGAATGCTGAGCAAGAGGCACAGCTTCACAGAGCCAGGAAGCCAGCTTGGAGCCATCCCGCCTCCTGAGACCAGAGCTAACCCAGTGGAAAATGAGGCCGAAGGATGCAGACCAATTCTGTTCAAGCACCTGGATCCACCTATGCCTGATGCCAGATAGCTCTAGACTTTTTAGTTGCACGGTTCAAATGGAGCCCCTTCACCATAGCTACTTTAGGCTTTCTGTCACTTGAAATTAAAACTCGTTTGAGATCAGGAACCTTGGGCAGCTGAGCCTGGGCACAGAAGCACCCTTGGAGGACTTTGGGGGCCCATGATGCCCGGCATTAGCTGCTTTCTTGGTGGGTCTGGCCATCTCACCTAGCACAGGCATGCTGTCTAGAAACTTCTGTGGGAGGGTGGTCATCTGTGAAAGAGGCTGTTCTGATCGCCAGAGGATGTGCTCGAATTCTGCACGGACGGCAGCCAGAGCCTCAGGATTCTTGAGGAGGAAGAGGAGGAGCCAGAAGGCTGTGGGGCCCATATTCCCCTGTGAAAGGAAGGAGCCCCGTCATTCCACCAAGGCCTCCAAGCTGGCTGCTGAGCATGGACTCAGTCTGAGTCAAGGCTCAGGGCTCAGCAGGCCTGGTCCCTACCCTGACCCAGCACCCAAGCATAACTACTCTTCAGCCACAGACTACATCCAAAATCTGCTTGGGACTTTGGTCGAGCCTAGTACTGGCTTCAAGCCCACAATTGGCATCCTGACCTTGGGTGAAGTCCCTTGTCTGATGTCACCCAGGTAATCTCCATAATCAGTCAGAAGAGGAACCAGACTGTCAATCAAATTCCTGATAATGTCTGAGAGTGACTGTGTGGGTCATGTGACTGGCCATGTGTCTCTGAGAGGCAGAGTGACCAAGAGCATAAAGTGGAACTAACAAATAGCAGCTCTAAGCCTAGGCCTTCAGAGAACTTGTGTGTGTCCCTCTCTGAATGGGCCCAGGGGTCCAGGTTGAGAGACACACAGGGCACAGCTGAGTGGGTTCAATGAATGCCTAAGATACAGGCTGCTGAGTAGTAAGCTGTTACACAGCATAGCTAACTGATACAGTATCTCTATGCGGTTTGGAACACAAAGTTTCCTTATCGGTTTCTTATGATACAATTCTCCCGGTCCCTTGGAGAATAAGCATGCACCAGAGCAACAGTTACAGGCTGTTATTTTTTAACACAAATTACTTGAAACTTCCCCATAGATAATTAGGAAAATCAATGACCCGTCTCTCTCCAAGGCCTGGTCAGACCTAGCTAAACATTTTCACCTCAACTCTGGCACCTTTTCAGTGACCCAGACATGGCTGGAATCCAGACCAACCTGGACTTGTGGGAAGGTCTTGTACATCATCAGTAAACATCATCTGTCCAATAATCTCATTACAGACATAATTGCATACGGGCAGAAGGCATGTGCAGAGGATGCAAATCACAGCGCTAATGCAGCAGCTAAAAAATTGGAAAGAAGCTCTGCATCTGTCAACAGAGATCAGTGAGGATGCTGGTCCAGCTGAGAGATGATGCAGGGAGTTGTTAAAAAAAAAAAACAAAAAACAAAAAACGGGCTGGAGAGATGGCTCAGCAGTTAAGAGCACTAGCTGCTCTTCCAGAAGACCTGGATTTGGTTCTTAACACCCACATGGCGGCTAACAACCGTCTGCAACTCCAGGTCCAGGAGATCTGACACCCTCTTCTGAGCTCTACAGGCTTTACACGCATGCAGGTAAAACACTTAGATACACAAAATTAAAATAAATAAAATCCTTAAAACAAACAAACTGCCTGGCTCAGTGTCTGACATGGACTGCAGCCAGTATACACAAGAGCAGGCAAACAGCAAGGTGTGGGCTGGGGCTCAGTGCACCACTGCTGTGCACATTGGAAGAGGGATCGTACAAGGGGCACAGGCCATCTTCAGAAGGAGCCAGGCCTAAGGTTGCTTCAAGGTCCGATGCTGGGAGGACAGAAGAGAGACTGGCTTTCTCTGTGTGTTCACGTGTGGGGGTATATGTGTGTTCACATGTGGAGCTGGAGGACAACCGTGGGTGTTGTTCTTCACAAACCATCTACCTTTAAAAAAAAATATATATAGACTTTATTATTCTTATGTGTACGAGTGTGTTGCCTGCATGTATGTGAGTGCACCCATGTGGTACAATGCCACGGAGATCAGAAGAGGCTTCGGAGTCCCCTGGAACTGGAGTTAAGGACAGTTTGTAACTGCCATATGGGTGCTGGGAATCGAACCTGGGACCTCTGCAAGAGCAGTCAGCGCTCTTAACCACTGAGCCATCTCTCCAGCCCCATATCCACCTTTTTTTAAGACAGGGTCTCTTACTAGCCTGGAACTCACCATGTGGGCTAGGCTGGCTGGCCAGCAAGCCCCCCCAAATCTGCCTGTCTGCAAAATTTTCTTTGCATACCTAGCCCACTGCTCCCCTCTTTTGTCTTTTTGAGACAAGGTCTCCCTGTCGCCACAGCTGGCCTGAAACTTGCTCTGCAGACCAGGCTCACAGAGATCCACCTGCCTCTGCCTCCTGAGTGCTGCGATTAAAGGCGTGCAGCACTATGCCTGGCTATACATATACCCTTTTAACTTGCTCGAATTTCCTAAATAGATGCACTGCTTTTACGTAAAGCAGAGAAGCACTGGGCGATTTTTAGTGATCTGTGCTGTTGTGGGGAATGTCCAAGACACGACATGAAATCAAATAGAAAGCTGGATTCAAACACGCACGTGACCTTAACACAGGAAAAGCAGATGGGATGCATGGGCATGCCACCCAAGGGGAAGGGATGCCTTGCCTTGCCTGTCCTGCCCTCCTGTGAATTTAGCAGCAGTAAGGTGCCCTGGTCCTTGGTCAATATGTCCATCAAACAGTCGCCTTTATCAGAGCTTTCATGGAAAAAGAGAAAGCCTTGGTGGCTACCCACTGCCTGGTAGATGGCTTAGGCTTGCTGATGCCTACAAACCCATATCGTAATCACGTGGGCCAGGGGGCCCAGGACAGCCTTTGGGGTGAGCTAGGACCTGGCTGACTTGGATTCCAATCCAGCCTCCTCACTCTCTGTCACCTCCCCTCTGTCTGGGTCTCACATCTTCTCAGTATGATGTAATAACAGTGCCCAGTCCTAGGCTGCTAAGACATGCAAGCATCCCATACATCTAGGCACAGAGGAGATGCTCCAAAGTGGATACTCTTCTCCTACTGGGTCTGTAAGCAAGCAGGGGCCACAAGCCTCTCCTCAGATATGGCTGAGACAGCAAGGTCACATGCTGTCCATCACATGGATAGTCAGGGCAGTGTGGGTGACAAATATCAGCCATGTGTTCACTCAGCAAGGCCTCCACCTATTAACTGCCCAGAAAAAAATGGGATCTGCAGGTGTCCGGTGATTTCTGTTTGCAGGAAAATGTCGTGGCAAGTTAAGGGTGGCCAAGACAGCCATCCACATCTGCATGGTGTGGTGTGTGTGTGTGTGTGTGTGTGTGTGTGTGTGTGTGTGTGTATGTATGTATGTATCTCTGTGTGTGAGCATGTGTGTGACTCTGGTCACACAAGCATTAGAGACCCTGGATTTCCCCCACAGGGCCTAACCTGTTAATTTATCAAGGTGTTTCTAGTCTAACCTTGTCTCTCCTAGTCAAGGCAGGAGTGGAACAGGAGGAGGGGATGGAAAGGCAGCTGGGTCAAAGGGGTGGAGCACCTTGATCGTGGGACAGATCAGCCCCACGCAGCCAGGTGCACAGGCCACCTGCTGTCTGAGGTTCAGCTAGGGCCTCCTGGAATCTCCTTCCTCTGTCCTGGGCCCACTCCAGCTTTGAGATCCACCTCTTCCTCCAGCCTAGACCTTAGATGTCAGCCCACAGGAGCCACCTCCTCCCAGACCTCCTCCAGCATCCTGGTCCTGAAGCCTCAGCTTCACCCAGCTTCCAGAGGATCCTGCTCATGTTTGCAGAGTGCTCAAAGGAATGCTTGGCCCACAGGACATGCTCAGCATCGCTCGAAGTTATTAGTCCTGACTCACGGTCTCTGACCTGCCAATAGCCACAGCAACCACCGTTACGCAACCTCAGGAGCTGCTGCAGGGCTTGGAACCCTGCCTCCCAAATGTGCTCTGTGCTGGTGTCTCCTGTCTCTCCAGCCACTCCTCCCAGGCCTCCTTGGTTGGCTCCTCCCCAACTTTCCCACCCTTTCATAACTGGAGATTCCTGGGCTTGGGACCCTCGTTTCTCCACCCTGAATCCCCCCAGGGCAGTGACATTAAACACCATTAAACGTCCATGGTCAGGTCCCACAGGTCAGTCTCTGGCCTGTATCCTGACCTAGATCGTCTCCATCTCACATGTGGCCAAATCCCAAGTTTCTGTCTTGAACTTGCTCCCCTCACCACCTTCCCTATCTGTTAACAGCCCCAAAGCTGACTGTGGTACTTGATCCCAGCCTCCCATCTGTCAGCTCTACTGTGAGATATGTAGATCACAGGCCGTGCTGTATGTACCACAGGGCACCCACCTCCCTAGAAACTAGGTGAAGTCTCTTCACCTTGACAAGGCCCGGAAAGTTTGGCACTTGCCGCCTCTCTGCTTACTGCCCTCCTGCTCACCTCAGGGCCTTTGCACTTACTCTCCTCTGTCCATAACCCTCATTCTAGAGAGCCCATGGCTTGCCCTTCACTTTAAGTCTCTACATAGATGTCATCTGCCCACTGGGGCCTCTCTGTCTAAACAAGCCTCCTCCTCCCTCCCTCCATGGTTTCCTCTCTTTACCAAACTTACTCCCTCCATGACTTTACACACCGGTGTTAGTTGTGTCCTCTCACCAGACGCTGCTCTATAGAACAGCCCTTACGTCTGCCCCACCCACTGCTCCAGATTTAGCCTCTATAATGGGGATGGGCACATTTGTTGCTGTTGTTTGCTTCTTGGAGTCAGGGTCTCATGTACCCCAAGCCGGTCTCAAACTCACTATCTAGCAGAAGATGACTTTGAATTTCTGCTCCTCCAAGTGCCACACGCCCAGCTCCACACAGATCTCTGTGGAACACTTGACTGGGCTCAGGTCAATCCTCATTCCACCCTCCCCATCAATCCCTGGGGAAGGAGCTACTGTACTATCATACAGGTGGGTAAACTAAAGCACTGTAGGTGAAATGTCAGTTCAAACCCAGGCAGGCAGGTCACATAGCTGGTGCCCAAAGCCACCATGCGGTACAGTCTCCTGCCGTCAGCACCCCCAGGGCCTCAGCAGCTTAGAGGCTGGATATCACCAGCCCTTCCACTCCGAGGGGTGTCCCTATCCCTGGCCAGTTCTGACCCCACCCAATGCTGTTCCCTGTGATCTGCCACTCAAGCCCTGGCCAGCATCCCATGCTGTGGACAGCGGTCATTTCCACAGGAGGCTCTGGGGACACTGTGGAGCACCGTGTCCTCTTGGTCCATAAATATGTTATCAGGTATGCACAGGGGCCAACTGCTGATTAAGCCCTGCTGTGCCCTGCCAGCTTCTGCTTGGACAGTTAATGGCTCTGAGGACAACTAAAAATAAATTGCCGGTCGATGGGAGAGGAATCACCCAGGGACACTGGCCTGTGCAAATGCCACTGCCAAGTAGGACTGAGAAAGAAGGGGGCCAAGGCTAGGGCGGGCAACCGGCCTCGGACCCTCGGCATCTGAGATGTCTGCCCCTTTCCCTCATCCAATTCCCACTCCATTACCAAAGTCGATGGCTGCCATACCAGTTCCCAAAATCTATTTGGCTCTTCAATATCTGGGTGGTCCCTATAGCCTGCTGGTCACTAGCCTGCTCCTGTCCTTACCCCTCAGAACTCTCCTTGGGCCCCACCTCACCCAGAAAATCCCAAGTCCTCACTTACCAGATGCTACAAGGTCCCTGCAACTTCCCTCTAGCCCACTTCCCCTCACTCACTTCAGTCCTGTTTAGCTCTTTGCTGCGGCCCCAACATGTGGCCAGATCCAACCCCAGGACCTCTGCGCTTGCTGTCTCCCCTGTCTGGAATACCCTATTCCCACATTCCCAAGTCCCTGATATCTAGCAAAAGTCCAAACATGTCCTCCCTAGAAAGGCCTCCCTGAGGACCTGGCCAGAGCTGACTCCAAGTCCGGAGATGGCTCCACCCCCAGCGGTGCTTCACATCCCCCACACTGGTGTCCTCTATCTTAACCAGGTGTTTCCTTGATCTCAGTTCCCTGCCCCAGCTGTCTAGAAATATAACCAGCTCCCAGCAGGACCTCTGAAGTCTGCTGCAAGCACTTGAAGGAGCTTTTAAATGATTCCTCAGAATCACTGGTCTGTACACTTCAGAAACATCAAAGTTATGAAAAAATAGTAAAAGGAACAGAAACCAGCAAAGGACTGAAAACTGAAGAGGGAGAAAAGCATCACACGGAGACAGGATTAAGAGTTTGAGGCCAGCCTGAGCCACACAGTGAAACTGTCAGAAAACAAAAACACAGGCCCGAGGATATGGCTCAGTGCTGCAGCATCTGCCCAGCATTCATAAGGCCCTTGATTTGGTCCCTGGCAGGGAGCAGTGGCATCAGAAATGCAAATAACTCTTGGCCTGGAACAACACTATCCAACAGAAACATAACACAAGCTTCAAACAAATAATTTGTAATTATTTGTAGCATTGTTTAAAAAAAGTAAAAGGTGGGGCTGGAGAGATGTCTCACTGGTTAAGAGCACTGGCTGCTCTCGCAGAGGACCCGGGTTCAGTTCCCAGCACCCACAGGGTGACTGACAACTGTCTACAATTCCAGTTCCAGGGGATTCAATGCCCTCTTCTGGTCGTCACAGAAGAGCACAACATGGGTGCACTTATATACATGCAGGCGAAATACATCTACACATAAAAATAAATAATAGTTTTTAAAGAAAAAGGTGGAGCTGGTGTATGGCTCAATTGACAGGGTGCCTTCCCACCATGCATGAAGTCCCATGTTCCATCCCCAGCACCATATAAACTTGGCTTGGTGGTGCATGTCTCTAAGCCCAGCACTTTTGAGGTAGAAGAAGGAGGATCAGAAGTTCAAGGTCATCTTTGGCTACATAGCAAATCTGAGGCCAGCCTGAGCTACATGAGACTCAACTTCTCAGTCATTTTGACATTTTTCCATATATGAAAGAAAATCAAAGCCTATTGCATGAACAGCCCATCCACACAGCTGCTGGACCAGTAAGGGAAAGATGGGGTAGGGGCAGCCAGCATGCCCACAATCACACCATCATCTGCTCACATGTGCACGAGCTCAGAGATGCACATTCGCGGCTGCCTGCCCATGGCCATGCATGCAGCAACACACGCACACTCACACGCCCATGCCCACCTGCGTGGCCCAGAGCTGCAGCACCAGCGCCCGGGCCTGCATCTCCTCAGAGACCCCCATCTCCTCCAGGTGCTGCAGGTAACTCTCCAGCCAGCTGCTCTGGTCAGCCCGGGTGGCCAGTCTGGCTGGGGACAGCAGCTTCCACAGACGGCCTTTGATGCTGCACGCATGGTCTTTATCCCCTGCAGGGTCAGAACACAGAGGAGGAAGGTTACAGAGCCACTCCTAGGCCAGGGCCACCCAGCCTCAGTCTTTTACAAAGCCACAAGTCTTCTGAGTATTTATCACTCATGGAGGTCAGGAGACCCTGAGGAGCTGGTGGGAAAGCAGAGGGGAAGGCCCTGTAAGAGCTGCTTTGCCCAGGATCCAGGTCACCCAGCAGGAAGGCACAAGGTCCTGCAGAGGAGAGACTGGCCCACAATGAGCGCTCAGTAGAGATGCCAATAAGTGCATGGGGCTCTTTACAGTGCCCCTTGGGAGAAGCATGATCCTGGCAGCAGCCCCCTCCCTGGGGTGTAGCCCAGAGCAATGCCCATCCATGAGGAGGCTCAGTACAGAGGAAGCCACACTGGCTATTGGTGGGGACACATCTGGGGTCACCTGCTCAACTTCCTCTGGGCAGACAGGTAAGGTCAGTAAGGGAGGAGGGCTAGGATGAGACTGTGGAACTGCAGGTTGGCGTGGCCTCAGGGAGGCTCCTTCAAGCCACCCCTGAGGCATGACAGAACAAGTGTCCCATGTGGCCAGAGGGGTGTGTTTTCTAAAGAAACAATCCAAGTGTTCTTGTGGACAATCCTTGTGCATGTGTGTGTGCATGCGTACATGTGTGTGTCTGTGTCAGTTTGTCTATAGTTCCTGGCCCTAGGGATGGATCCCAGACCCTCCAAGCACTCTACCACTGAGCTACACAGCCCCGTCTCCTTCTGGTGTATAAGGCTGACACCGAAGCAAGTGCAGGCCACAAATCATCTCTGAAGGTCAGCTTTGCCCCAAGGACACCAACCTGGACACGATGCTGGCACAGAAGAGGCCCTTTGCCTACAAGGTGGCCTACTAGGGAAGCATGTTAGGAACAATTCAGGCACCACTGTAGAGGTTCTGCACAAGCAACAGCACTGGCATGTGGTCTGCTAGCGATGAGGCAGGGATGGGTTGACATGTACCACCATGCAGTGCACGGTCCCATTCATTCCACCCCCCGGTGACTATGCAGTGGTCGCTGTATGTGAGCCTCCTGTTTGTACCAGGAGGAAATCGTCTGATGATGCGTTTCATGTTTCTGGGAATGAATCTCATCTTTGAACCATGCCTTATAGCACATACAAAAACATGAGGTCCACTGGTCTCCAGAGTCAGCCCTGAGAAAACTGGGAGTTGCCTGGGGTTGCTGTGAAGTTTCAAAGAGCTAGAATCTCCCTTACTGTGTGTCAGGGGACCTGTCCACCAAGCTCTGACCTAGAGGCCCATCCCAGGAGCTTGTGGGGATAGAATTCATCAATAACTTTGGACTCTAGTATGTATGTGTTTGCACACGTGTTGGGGTATGCATGCAAGTGTGTGTGTGTGTAAGCCAGAGGTCAACACATCAGGCTCTTTCTCAATGACTCTCCACTTTATTTTTTGAGTCAGAGTCTCTCGTTGAACCTGGAGCTTGCTGATTTGATACTGTGATAAGCCAGTGAGCTCCAAAGATCCTCACTCCACCAAGAGGTCCAGTCTCTGCTCCCCAGGGCTGGTGCACCACCATACTCAGCTTTCATGTAGGTGCTGGGAATCTGGACTCAAGTCCTCATGCATGTGTGGGAAGTACTTTACTGACTGAGCCATCTCCCAGCCTGGGCTTAAAGTTTTTGATGTAGGTTAGCAATGTTTTCAAACAATAGGCTCAATATGTATTTCTTCAAATTTACTGACTGAGCCATCTCCCAGCCTGGGCTTACCATTTTTGATGGAGGTTGGCAATGTTTTCAAACAATAGGCTCAATATGTATTTCTTCAAATTCCTAATAGCCTTTCCAATGACCCATGTTCTTGATTTAAAGCAGCGAGTCTAGGCTGGAGAACCCGAGGCTCGGTGGCTAAGAGCACCGGCTACTTTTGCAGAGGACCAGATTCTGTTCCCAGGACACACATGGCAGCTAACAACCATCGTAACTCTGGTTCCAGGGGATCTGACAGTCTTTTCTGGTCTCTGTGGACATTCATGCACCTGGTGCACTTACATACACGCAGACAAAACACTCTTACACATAAAAAATAAAAGTAAATTTAAAGAGTTAAAGCAGCAAGCCCACATATTCATCCAAAATACACGACTTTCCTGTTTCCCGGTGAGTCTGCTCTGCACTTTCCTGTTTCCTGGTGAGTCTGCTCTGCACTTTCCTGTTTCCCGGTGAGCCTGCTGTGCACTTTCCTGTTTCCCGGTGAGTCTGCTCTGCACTTTCCTGTTTCCCGGTGAGCCTGCTCTGCACTTTCCTGTTTCCCGGTAAGCCTGCTCTGCACTGACCAGGAGTTCCTACCTCCCTGGATGCCGGGACCCACCCAGGCTCACGGTGTCAGAATCACCAGATGGGACTTCAAACAAGTCATCAAGGGACACGGGAGGTGACAACACTAGACTGCCCCAGTATCCTCCAACTGTTTCCAGTGTCACCTGACCAGAGTTCCAGGAAAGAGGCAAAGGGCTCACTCAACACAGCCATAGAAACGCCTGGCTGTCCTCTAGGCCCAACCTCAGGGCTGCAATCTCTCATAATAGCACAGTCACTCTGTGTGTGTGTGTGTGTGAGTGTGTGTGTGTGCATATGTATGCAGGTGCACTCGCCTGTGTATGTGTGTGTGTGCATATGTATGCAGGTATACTCACCTGTGTCTGTGTGTGTGCATATGTATGCAGGTACACTCACCTGTGGATGTGTGTGTGCATATGTATGCAGGTACACTCACCTGTGTCTGTGTGTGTGCATATGTATGCAGGTACACTCACCTGTGTCTGTGTGTGTGCATATGTATGCAGGTACACTCACCTGTGTCTGTGTGTGTGCATATGTATGCAGGTACACTCACCTGTGTCTGTGTGTGTGCATATGTATGCAGGTACACTCACCTGTGTCTGTGTGTGTGCATATGTATGCAGGTACACTCACCTGTGTCTGTGTGTGTGCATATGTATGCAGGTACACTCACCTGTGTCTGTGTGTGTGCATATGTATGCAGGTACACTCACCTGTGTCTGTGTGTGTGCATATGTATGCAGGTACACTCACCTGTGTCTGTGTGTGTGCATATGTATGCAGGTACACTCATCTGTGTGTGTGTGCATATATATGCAGGCACACTCACCTCTGTGTGTGTCTGTGTGTGCATATGTATTCAGGTGCACTCACCTGTGTGTGTGTATGTGCACATATGTATGCAGGTGCACTCACCTGTGTGTGCACATGTATGCAGGTGCACTCGCCTATTGTGTATGTGTGTGTGTGTGTCTGTGTCTGTGTGTGTCTGTGTGTGCAGGTCAGAGCTCTCCAGATGCTGGTGACTCCATCTATTGCTCTCCACCTTAATGTTTTAAGGTTTTATTTATTACTTTTATTTCATGTGTATGACTGTTTTGTCTGCGTGTGTGTAAGTGCACCATGTGCATGCAGTACCTGCAGAGGTCAGAAGAAGATGTTAGATCCCCTGGAACTGGAGTTATAAGTTAGCGGCCATGTGGATGCTGGGGAACCTGCGTCCTCTGCAAAAGCAGCCAGTGCTCTTAACCGCTGAGCCCTCTCTCTAGCCCCACCACCTTATTCCTTGAGTCAGAGCGCTCACTGGACCTTTGGTGATCCGTTTGAATTCCCCTCACCCCCTTAATGCTGGAGTTACAGGCACATCTCCCATGCTAAGTTCAGTCACAGGCAATGTGGCTGTGAACATCTATGTCTGTTGCCACATGTATTTCTGTAGGACCATTTCCTAGAGGAGAGACTATGGGAGGAAACAATCTACATTTGATGTTTTGCTGGGAATTTGCCTGGTTGGTTTTCTAGAGTGGCACCTGCACACAATCCACAAGGTCTGGGAACTGCTTGGCCCGCAAGTCTCGGCCCACAAGTGAGGGCAACTGTCCTCCAACACTGCCACCTGCTGCCCACGCTGGGGCATGCAGCCTCCTGCTCTGCACTTTCCTGTTTCCTGGTGAGCCTGCTCTGCACTTTCCTGTTTCCCGGTGAGCCTGCTGTGCACTTACCAGGAGTTCCTACCTCCCTGGATGCCGGGACCCACCCAGGCTCACGGTGTCAGAATCACCAGATGGGACTTCAAACAAGTCATCAAGGGACACGGGAGGTGACAGAT